TATTCCAAGAATTACTTCGTGTAAACCTATTTTAAACTTATTGTTAATTTAATTATCTTTTATTTTAAACTCAATTTCAATAGAAATTGCTTTCAATACAGAAGTTGTACTCAAAAATAGCCATAAATGTCATTTTCACTTAAACATTGTCTTAAGCATTGAACTACATATGGGTCAAACATAGCTATAAAAACACATTGTATTTAAAATTACACAGTTTTACATTGCATTCAGTAGTGGACGACGAGTTTACTATCTATTTATAATCAAAAATGTAATCCCTTTTAAATACTGTTTTCAAAATAAAACTAATATGTTTTCAAAAGTTAAAACAAAAAGTTGTTCAAACTTAAAAACTTTAGATCATAATAACTGTCATAATTTTAAATAATTTTAAATAAGTTTAAATTTTAATTTTTATTATAAAGCTTTTATTAATTAATAACTACATATATTAAACAATTCGATGCGAATTTGTTATTATTAACCTATGACTTTATGTCAAGTATTTAGACTATTGGCGTTTAAAAAAGGAAAAAATATGTCTTCGGGGAGATATACAAACTGGTTTCCATGGGCTGTGCCTTGATTGGACAATACTAACACGGTAGGTCTATTTGTTGTCAGTGATCCGGGTGAAAAACTTGTGGCCGATAAATCACACTTGGTCATGTTTATTTTAAGGGTCACGTTTGAAGCTTTATCAATTGTGAACGCGTTTTGTGGGATTACCTGTAGATCGCAATTGTACAAGTCCAAAAGTGTTAACAATGTTAAGTAACGAAACGCGTAACTACCAAGCTTAGTTACGTGATCTTCCATGTGTAACGCGCCTAATTGTGTCTGATTATGTGCAAATGCGTCATTAGGTATTTCGCGTATTTTCGGATTATCTGACTCGATAATCTCAGTGGCTAAAGTGAACAGGCTCATAACTTGAAATATGTGCGTTGGCTCTAAAGCGGAATTGTCAAAAATCATAACTTTTTTTGTGAAATTGTACGTTTTCATAAAAGCGTCAGGATCGATGTTTTGCAGCTTTGAGCTGTTAATGTGAATCTCGTCAAACAAAATGTCCTGGAACGTATTAGCTTTGATCTCGGTCATGTAGGTGTTGTTGAAAAAGAATCGGTGAAAATGTTTTTGTTCGGGTTTCAGTGTGTGACTTAGCGTGTCGAATATATGTATCAAGTCAATATTGTCTGCTCCCGAACATTGAATATGATTGTATTGACAACCTGTGCATGGTAGTATTACGCTGGGATCGGGACACTCCGAACGGCACAGGTGGTTTAATTTCAAACCTATAAATAAATATTAATTTATTATTAATTTCGCAATATATTTTATATTATACAACAATGCACGTTTTATCGCGCTATTATAATTTCTAAATTAATATTTTTAGTAATTAGATTTTAAGATAATATGAGCGTTAGCAAATCAGAGTAATTTTAGTCAATTATATATCTAATTAATAATTTGTCTTAAAAGTCGCTTAAAACATACAATATTCATAAGTTTCCATTAACAAAGTAATGTTATAACTTATAAAAGTAACATATTATTTATATTTAAAAATGACAAACGTTACTCTGATTCTATAAAACTCATATAATATTTATTGACATACAACATAAAATTAAGCATATAGCTGATAATCGTAAATAAAATTCCATGTTTTAAGCAAAGGTATAACTAAAATATTATTTGCATCAATATTTATAAGAATTAATTATCATTATTTGCATTATAAAACACTTACCTTTATAAACTGATTGGGGTGCGGGTCTATTGACCTAATAACCAATTGACCTAAAATCGACCAATTGACCTAATAACCAATTGACCTAAAATCGACCAATTGACCTAATAACCAATTGACCTAAAATGGACCAATTGATCTAATAACCAATTGACCAAAAAATGACAAATTGTCCTAAAATACGAAATAATGAATTTAGAGAACTAGTCGAAGAGTTAATGTATTTCTATGGGGATTTCGGTGTTTTTGGACCCACCTAACTTCTCGTAGACTTAATGTATTTCAACGATTGAAATGGGGTTTCCCCGTGCCAACTCCCTAAGGGGAGTTGGTGTTTCTACGAGGGAAATGGGGTTTCCCCTTCACAAAAATGTTTTTTATCAATCGATCGGTTGGTTCCAAACGAAGAAAAAGCATCTAAACTAAGTATAAACTCTGCATATAAAAAATCCTTGAGCTCAAGGAACTTCAACAACTGTTGAATTCCTTAGAGGATTAGCCCATCGAATTATGTAAATTTGTAAATTGTTTGTAAATATTTCACAAAAATTTAAAACAAACCCAAAAAAATAAAAAATAATCCACTTGATGCATTTCATATGGATTATCTGATTATAATTATCATTTAGACTGTCGCTGATGCACTCAAAGTTTATTAAAAATTATTTTTGGAAAATAATGTATATGATATAAATTATTTTATACCGATGAAAAATTTAACATAAATAATTTTAAAATTGTAAGCTTTTTATAATAGATGAACTAATATTGTAAGATCATACTACAATAGATAATTAACTGTAGGTTTATAATAAATAATCTTAATAAATGTTAATAACAAATCATAGTATCCTTTTAGCCAGTGCATCTAAAATATAAGGTTATGTTAAAAACAATCCCAACGTTATGCTAAAATCTATGGAAATAGTCACTCGGTTTGATATGGGGGTTGAGAGGCGTTTGGAATGAGTTTGTAACGGAGTCTCAATAATAAACAATAATTGTTATAGATGAGTAATTAAAGCTAGCATCCAATAGGTGGTGGTAGTAGTTTCCATGCGATTATTAATGAAGTGACAGTCAAAACAAAACATAAACCCCTCCTAACCCCGTCCAACCCCTACATCATCCCGAGTGACTATTTCCATAATTTTTGCATACAGTAACGATTATTGTAAACATAAACTAATATTTTAGAGCAACCAGCATGATGATACCATAAATTGTAAGCATAATATTATTTGTACATTATATACATTGTGCTATTGCAATAAGAATATAATATATTATATAACAATATATTTTTAAATATTAATTAATAAAAAATTGGGATTGATTTATATCCATCCGGTGCATCCCAAAGTGAGAGAGCTGGTTTTATATTTAATTATTAAATAATATTAATTTGTTATTAATTTTTTAAAAAGGCATTTAAATATGTTATAGCTAAATTAAATAAAAATTTACTATTTATAATTGTAATTACATTTAAATAGCTCTCTCCCAATTTCGTGGTCCTGAGAGAGAGAGAGAGAGAGAGAGCTATTAATATGTGTTTTGAATTATAAATATTAAATTATTAATTTATTTAGTTATAACATATTTAAACATTTTTTAAAAAATTAATATTTATTAATAATTAAATATAAAACCAGTTCTCTAACTTTGGGGATGCACTGGATGCATAATTTATAAGTCAATCCTATAAAAATTGTTTAAATTAGAATTGATTTTAAAATTATATTATTTAAATATGTGGATTTTGGGGAATTTAACATACAGTATGCTACCAATTTTAAACTACAAAATACCAAAACATTAGCATTCAAGTAATTATAATAAAAATGTTATTAATATTACATAAAATAAACTTAGATTTATCATTTTAAAGATGTATGTCCCTCATTAAAGGGGTGCCATGAGGACCTGGCAACCCTACTCTTACTTACTTCATGGCACTTCATATAGGGTGCCGGAAGTGTCACGGGATGTATGGCAATGTACTACTGATACTGAAATATCATACTAAAATAGTATATTATACTAAAATATTTATTAATTTGAAGTTAGTAAATTAAACATTATGTTATTATAATAAAAATATTTCTAAAAATATTAATTTACTAAAATATAAAAACTTATAATCAAACTAACTTAAATAACAAAACACTCTTAGTAGCAAATTGCCTGTTCGCAAAATAGATATTGATAATTCTGATAATACAGTATTTTTCTACATAAAATTACTAACAATTTGCAATAATAAAAGTAACCGAATGACCACTATTAGTATTTTATATTTAACAATGATTAGCATCGGACATAAGAATTTGCTTATATTTTTACATTATGTTATGACTTTTCTATTGAAATTGAGTTTAAAATAAAAGATAATTAAATTAACAATAAGTTTAAAATAGGTTTACACGAAGTAATTCTTGGAATACTTTACAAACATAATTAAAATTATTACTTAGTGAAATGACATAGATTATAATACTATAACTTATTATACTTAAAATTCATAAGGTTTAAATGATAGAAAAACAAATTATAATTCAAAAGTGTGTATGTGTGTGTTCCCATTTATTATTATTTAACTATGGGGTGTCACTCGCTGTAAAACTCTTATTAAATTAAAACCTACATGATTATATAGTTTAACCATGCTAAATTAAGAATATCGCGGTCCGGTAATCTATGTGAAGGTGGTATGGTCATAATCCAGTGGTCAAGCTTGCGATATTCGTATAACGCTCTATACAAACTCAATAGGCATTTGATGTGAATTCATGCATTATTTGTAAGACTCACTTTTATAGTATGAGTAATGTAAAAAAGTGAATAATGCATATAAAAACTTTGAAAATTGTGCGATTATCGGAAACTTGATAACTGGATTATGACCACACCACCTTCCCATAGATTATCGGACCCCGATATTCTTAATTTAACATGGTTAAACTATATAATCATGTAGGTTTTAATTTAATAAGAATTGTACAGCCGATGACCCCGCATTGTAAGAGCTTGCTCAATTTTATTAAATATTTCATCGCCCATTGTTAACAGACCGTAATTACTTGTAACACATTCAACAAGAACTTTACTACTACCACCCTGTATAATTTAAAAATATAAATATAGTTATAAACAATTAATCAATATAAAGTATAGTCAATAATGACATACCTTATTATTTGGCAGAAAATAGTCACTCAAAGTTTTATCAATCACTGCTCGCACATCAGCATCATGGACAATTTTCAACGGCTTAACGATAGTCAACTTGCCCGTCATGTTCAACGACAATTTTTGCTCCATGGTCACCTTGGTACGTTTATCCATGGTAAACTCGGACAATATAAGTATCCGCGCGTACATAATCTGAAAAATCTCTTTTATATCATTGATCGGCAACACCTTTCCCGCGATATCCAACATCTCCTTTACGATTACACCTATTTTCCTATTTAGATCTGGCTCATTATTAATATCGCGTACGACTGTCGCCCGGACAGCCTCCGGAAACTCGGCGACGGCCACCTTAATCACAACGTCCGGCGACAAACGAGCCTGGTCATTATCATCGCCGAGTTTAAGCTCGTCAAACGCGTCGACAATTACCGCGTTAACTGTGGCCCACTCGGCGCGCGCCAAACTCACGCAAAGTGGCCCGGAGTCAAAATGGCCGACCACGTCGAACGCGCCATTAGGCTCCAGGCGACGTAACAATTGCTCAAAGTGTTCATTCACTTCGGTGAGCGAGCTCAGTTTGTTTAAATCGCGGGTCCAGTTCAGTCCGATTACAGGACGATCGTGTTTTTGGGCCCAATCGGCGAACGTCGAAAAGTTGGTCGTTAATGTCGGCATGATATAAATAGGTCGCCCGGTGGTTATATTATTTAGCTTGATACATTCGTCACTAGCTATGATAAACACCTGATTGGACAGTGCGTGTGATAATGATATCATGGCTTCTAGGTGATTTTTTAACGGTAGATAGTCACCGTGTCCAAACTCCTTTAGCATGCCGATGTTGATGGTCCGAACGTGATATAAACTAGCCTGGACACGCCATTGCCGCTCAAACTCGTGCTGTATTTCTACGGCAAATAACGACTCGACCCCTATATCACCAATTGTAACGTTGCTTGGTGTATCATCAGGGTCGATGCCTAATTGGTGCCATAAATCTTCAATCATGCGCGATTGTCTGGTGCCATGGGTGGCAATTTGAGTATCTTGATAACCCTGTTTTTTGTCATTAATAAATAAAAGAAATATAAATAATAATTTAATTTATAGGTTTTCCCAGTACTCAAACACTATGCATTGAACTATTAACAATAGATATAATTTTGTACTTGATTAATAAATATCTATAGTTCAATACATAGAGTTTAAATATTAAGAACCCTGGTTATTAAATAGATATGTCTTTCATAGAGTAAATATGGAAAACATACAAATCCTGTAACAACGGGTGTATTAATAGCCAACAATGTGTCCAACAGTTCGCAATACGAATGAACGTTCACTTGTTTTAGAGCTGTAACGCGATATATTTCATCCCGGTGCTCAAGGTACTCAACCATGCCTACGCCAGCGATGGGTCCTAACTGTACGGCCAGGCCGTGTAGGCCATCACGACGCCTTGCCTCGCAAATACGCTCACACATGGAGTTCCCGTATCCATAGTTGGTCAATGAGGCGCTACCCTTTCCGGTGCCAATCGACGTGAATGCGACAAAATAGTCCAAATTGTAGGTCAATTGACGACTCAGTTGATCCAAATTCACCAAAATCTTTGCCTTCACGTCAATCGTTACGCCAAACGTATCGATCGTATGGTTCGCTACGAAACCGTCGGATAGGTTGACAGCCAAATGAAAAACCCCTCCAATGGGTCCCAACTTTTGGGCCTCTTTTAGGAGTTGTTGTGTGCCTTCAGTTGTTATACAATCGGCGGTCGACACCAACCATTCAGACGCATAGTGTTTGTCGTTTCGGAAACGGTTGACTAAAAACTTGATGTAATTGTTTTTGATACTCGTGCGAGAGGTGACTATAAACTTTCTGGCTCCTAAATTTTGCATCCATGGTATCATCTCCCGGCCCATACCACCCAACCCACCGGTTATTATATAGACTTTGTTTGGATGGAAATACGTCTTAACCGTAACCATCATATCGACGGCCGGTTTAATGGCTTTCAGTGGCTGTCTATCCATCTCTTCGTCTCTCATTTTGATGACTACTTTCCCGA